ATGGCACACTTTGAAATTCCTTGCACCCTTGCATGGTTGTTAATGTGAACTAAGCAAAATGTTGTAACATTGGACTGTTGAGCTTGTGTGTCTCCTCTGTTCAGAAGTGATGCTGTGAAATGGAGTTTCCCAGCAGTAGCTAAAAGGGTTACGAATGCAACAGGAAGTGAGCGAAACCCACACGGGAACTGAAACAAAAGCCTGTGTCTCGCTGTAAGTTCACACAGCTCATAAAGCTCTGTAAATGTGAAAAGCTACTCATGGTCATTTAATGTACTGACAAAATAAGCAAATTGATATGTCAGGCATTATAAACCCCTTCATGACCGAGGCCTTTTAAAAAAAAAATGTTTTTACATGTTATAATCCACATTTTAGGCCTACCAATTACTTAAAACCCAAAAACATTATATATTTTCTGAAAGCCAAGACTCTATAGAATAAAATGGTGGCAGAGGCAAATTTTTATGTTGCACGATATTAGCGCAACTCCTTATCAAACCCAAAAATATAGCGAAAAATGCACTTAAATGACCGCAAACACAATAAAATACTATTTTTTTTTTAAATAAAATATAAAAGATGAGGTTACAATGAGTAAATAGATACCCAACATGTCCAGGTTAAAAATTGTGTGCGTCCGTAAAACTGCAACAAAATTCAGTACCCCCAAAAAGTCCATAGATGACGTTTTAAAAGCCCCAACAAGCCATCAGTTTAGAGATACATGTAAATATTGGCCCTAGAATTATTGCTCTCACTCCAGCGTGCACGGCGATACCCATATGTACTCTCACCCGACGAGCGAAGCCCGGGAAACACAGCGGGGGTGTTTGTTAAAACGGGCCCGATGACCAGTGATGTACGTCACTGGTCACGACGGGGTTAATATATTTTTAATACATTCTCCAATGTATTACTTATAATTACTATTAAATAAAGATTTCTAAAATCAGGCTTTATATGTGTAAATGTTTTCAAATACTACATCAAGATTGTTTATTTATTTGACACTAGTGGTTGCTTTTTTGATTATCTACATCAGTGGGTAGTAGCTGATTTGATTTTTGAGGCCTCCTGTGGCCAGGAGCATAAAAGACCCGGGACACCTAAAAGTATTGTGGGTGCGGCTGTTTCTTGTTACCAATATCATGTCTTCTCTCTCTTCCTCATTGGTCTTTTCCCCTTTGCTGCTGCGCTCACTTAACATTTAGCCATTGGTGTCATTGTTCCCAGTGAAGCAGTGCACTCGTAACACCACTGCATCCGCTACACATCTAAACAAGCTGATACTTGGCAATGTTCTTAAAATCCGGGTCCATTTTTTTTTTTATACATCAATCTAGAAACTGTAATTTTATTGATATGATGGCTCATATTTTAAAGTGCATCACTGTTTGAAAACAAAACACAAATTAAAAAATAATCTACATGATCTTCCAAAAATGTATTGTGCGTAGAATGTGTAATCTTATTTTTAATGAATGGAAATGAATCTATTAAGATACAAAGAAGTATACAACACAGGAAAACCTAGAAACCCAGTAATTCCCTAAAATAGCACTTTCTCTAATCCATGAATTACCTACTCAGCAGATTTCTACAGAACTGCTAGGGAAGAATGCAGTTACTAGTGATAAAAGTGTGAAAATTAATGTAGAAGATCAAATAAAAGTATAGCAAAGACCAAAATATGTTCGTCTGTGGAAATATACAGTGTCTGGCCAAAAAAAAGTCACCACCTGGATTTCGGGCAGTGTTATGATGTAGGGTTGCTTCAGTTGGTCAGGCCTAGGCCCAGCAATGTTATTTGCCCATTAAATGAGGTCAGATGCCTACCTGAATATACTGAGTGACCAGGTTTTCCCATCAATGGATTTTTTTCTTCCCTGATGGCACGGTCATGTTCCAAGATGACAATTCCAGGATTCACTGGACTCAACTTGTGAAAGAGTGGTTCAGGGAGCATGAGACACCATTTTCACACATGTATTGGCCACCGCAGAGTCCAGACAATAACCCAATTGAGAATTTTTGGGATGTGCTGGAGAAGACTTTACGCTCTACCATCATCACTACAAGTTCTTGTTGAAAAATGAATGCAACTCTGGACGGAAACAAATGTTGTGACATTGCATAAGCTTGTCAAAATGATGCCACGGCGAATGTGTGCCATAATCAAAGCTAAAGGTGGTTCAACAAAATATTAGCATGCATTACTTTTTTTTTTGTCCAGGCAGTGAATTTGGATGGAAAGATAGCAACACTTACAGCATAGGAGACCCAGGGCACTTAGCAGGAGACCTGAGTCACATGCCCTGGATGCCAACTACTGCACAAATCTGTAACTTGTAAACTTGATGATGGGATAGGGTAAGGTTAACACCTGTGTCAGGTTTATTGTTGTCTGGAGGGGGTCCCAGTCTCTGAGAACCCTTCTGGCTTCATGGCTTCATTAGAGAAATATATTGAGAATCTTGTTCAGGCTAAGCAGAAACGTTGCTAAAAAGAGCCTGTTACAACTAAGGTAGTCTTTGTAGAAAAATCAATGCATTCAACCTCAATGAGACTGGGCAATTTACTGTCATAGGCGTCACATCAACAATTAATCGTAATGCACTAGATTCATATGTATGTAAAATGTATGTATGTAAAATGTTTACCTTGCCAAAATCTTTGACATCAAACAGGTCAAAAGCCTCAAACAGGTCCGCCCTACGCATCCCAAACTTCTCACTGCAGGTGGACAGAAATGTTCTGATATTCTTCAAACACAGGAACTGTAATGAGAAGGTCAATTTCAGCAACAGCTCACGATTGAACCAATCAAATACACTTTATCAATTCACCTCTAGCTCCTTTAAAGACAAAGAGTGGAATTTATCCAAACTGGAGCAGAGCAAATCTGGAGCAGCTTCTATGTTTAGTTTGTTCAGTTAAGATTTGAAAATGAAAGACAGAAGCTGATTGGTTGCCATGCAGAGCTACTCCAAATTTTTTATAAATTCCCCTCAAAGTACCAGTATGTTGTATTTCCATAATAACATAATTTGAGGTATGATTGCAGTAATTTTATATATGACTTCCACGCTTGGTTTGGCCTTCTTTATTTTTAGTACTGTATGAAATATAGTAATTTGTAAATTAGACACTAGTGGGAGCAAAGGTACAACTTGAGGGCACTCTGCCTTTTTTTTTTTACAGCTGTTGAGATAAGATATCAGCCACACAAGGAGTGCATTGTTTTCAATGAGTCAGCTGAGTTAGGAGTAGTTGGGTATAGATGTATTGCTAAAACAAAAATGTTTGAAAAGCCTATACATTCACCAGACATTAAAGTGAACTCCAACCTTACCTTCAGTCTTGCACAGTTGTAGTCTCGTCTGCTAAAATTGCTTACCTTAATTTCACTGCACATTCTAACTTTCTTACAGTGTGCATTATAAATTGCAGCAAGACAAATAGAGCATGCCACATTTCCTTGTAGGAAGACATCTACCGGTAGCTCTTTCCTCCCCAGCCTTACTGTCCCTGGTCGAACTATTTTTCATTTATTAGATTTCAGTTCTATCAATCATGGAGGCTCACTGTAGGCTTAACCACAGCTTACTCTTTTCAGGTAACTAAGTATAGCACACTACAGGCACCTTCACAAGCCATGATCCGCCTGCATTTTTAATGGAGAAGCACAGAGACCAAGTAAGGATGTCACTGAGTCTAACAATAGGTATGTCATGAAATCAGAAAGGTTTAATTTAAAGCGGAACTCTGGGGGAAAAAATGTAACCCTTGCAGTGGTGCTACCCCCATACTGCATGGGTTAAGTGCTCGTTTGTGTCTAGGCTCTTAGACCAGTCTCTGCAGCATCTTTCACCCCTCCGCTGCAGTGGTCTTAGGTCCCGAGTCATCATGCCCTATACAAAGTGTCTATAGGAGTATTAATTATATATGTAAAAATAATGAACTGGATGACAAAAGTTTTGTCTGTAGCATCAGCAGTAAGAGGGTTTTTCACTGGCAGTCCGTGACTGGGGACAGGCAGATTTGCCTCTTCCTGCTGTGCTGAAGGCCCCCAGACTGTACACTGGCTGCAGGGCAAAGCAGGAGCTCCAGCGTATATTGTGCAGGCTCCGGCGCATGCTGTGGCTGTATAGCATGGGCACTCTGAGATATAAAAGGCAGATCTGCCTCTAAATGGTGTGACCCAGCCACTTCTTTCTCCTGCAGAACCTGCTCGCCCCCTACTACCTCAACATGCAGAACCTCTGCCTCTCGCTGCTGGTGATCCTGTATGATGCATGGTGTATGAGGGGACAGAAAGAAAACATGGCGGCTGCCATTGCAGCCACTTACATCCATGCTGGAGGTTACTATTACTGGCAATGACCCCAATGCTGAGCCTTCCTTTACTCTCACACTACCAGCCATTACACCGTGAAGCAGCACCCACCCAGCAGTGTTTGCCGCATTGTTCTATATACCTTGGTGATGTTCTCTCCTTACTGTGTATGCATAACTTGGTTCCTCTTATTTGGACTTATTTATTTTGTCTTTATACCCTAATTATCCGCCTCTTGTTCCAAAAGTCTGTGACCAATTGTTTGAGGACATAATAAAATGGGTGCATGATTTTGTGGGTGTGGTTAAACATGTGTATAAAGTGTCCTTGGATTTCATTTTGAAAATCTGGTAACCTTAGCAACAAGTGTACACTGCGAAACCTGCGGAAAAAAGGGCCCTAACAAGAAAAAATCAAATATACTGCCCCCCCCCCCCCAAAAAAAATAAGCCATAAAACACAAAACCCGAATCCAAATTTTAACCTAGCAAAAAAAAAGTGAAATAAAGAACTATAAAAAGGCAAAAGGGCCCAGCAGATAAACAGCAACTAACAGTTGTTGCTTACACACACAGAAAGGTAGTCCTATAAATGACTGTTGGATCTCTTAACTGTGAACACAGGGGTAAAAGATGTACACATCTTTTAATGAGCTATTCATTTTTATTTTTGTATGGTCAGCTTTAGAGGTAACATCCCCCAAGCATAAAAAAGTCTCAGTCCTCCTTCTGACATCTCCCTAATGTCAAATAATAGAGCTGTGACCATCAGTGTAAATACTGGGAAGGTAGACACTTACTGGAACTTGTGCTATGTGGATTGTGCATATGTGTTTTCTCTCTTTCTCTCGCTCTACACACACATTCACACACATATCTTTATATATATTTCAGAAGCAGAGAGAGATGTGCGTGTGTGTATGAAGATTGAGGTTGCCGATACTCCTCTGCACTGTCCCCATTGCAAACAGATGTCACAGTAAAGAAGAATGCAATTTAACCAGGTTGTCATTGACAGGCAGCGGCCACAGCTATGTGGTCAGTGTATTCAGTTTTTGCTACACAAGCAATAAAAAGTTTTATATAAAAGCAGTGCGGTATGCACTCTGCTGAAGAAATGTTCCTGTGAGGTCATGATGGACATCCTCCTGCTAGATAGATCTAAATGAACATATCGATGACATTCCATCTTACATCTGACTGGACTGGTCTAATCAAAGCAGTCCAGTCCATAGCTAATAGTCAAATATCCATCAGATGAAATCCCACCTCTACATGTGCAGTGCACTCCTCGGGTGTAGGGGACTCTGACCTAGAAATAGGGGACTCATGTAAAAGTAGGGTACTCATGTGAAAGTAGGGGACTCGTGTGAAAGTAGGGGACTCTGACGTAAAGGGGGGCACTCTAATGTGGAGGGAACCCTTTTTTTTTTGGTGTTTTTGCATGGGGTCTCCCTTAAAATTCATACCATACATCTATCACAGATAAGGGTCTGGTATGGATTTTACAGTTCTGTTTTTTACATTTTAGAGTGGTGTGCCTTTTTTGCATACTTTTAAATGTTGCCATGACTGAAAAAAAGGTTGGGAAAAACTGCTTTAAAACATTTATTCTTCAAAATTATGAAATTTTGATGTCCAGATGTCCAGGGCCATTCCCAGCACCAGGTAAAGCACCAGGTAAAGCCAGCTTAATTTTAAATCTGCCTTCCACCCGACCTGCAACAGCTATGGAGAAGATGCCCCGTAGCATGATGATGTCACAAGTCCTGATACTTGTGACATCATCACACTACGGTTCCACTGGGATATTCTCTCCATGGCTGTTGCAAGGTGGATTTAAATTTGCACTAATGCACTGCTGTATTTGTATTGTATGGGGAAGGTGTTTGTGTATATTTGGTTAGTAGGGGGTTACACTATATATTTTTAGAGTGCAGTGCATTTTTGGATATTTGTTATTATCATTTTCTTGATAATTGACACAGCTGCTTATGAGTGAACAGTTAGGAGTGCAGGACATGGCACATTATTATTATGGAACTTGGATCTGTGCATGGATGACACGGCTGTGTGGGTGCAGCCACGCACATTTGCACCAATTTTAATTGTATACAGAAGACTTTTAGGAGAACACCCTTTTGGGAGATTCTGGTAAGGGAGGGAGTTTGGGGGTGGGGGGCTTGTTTATGTGACTTTTATGTTACATTTCATGTTAATCCCTGAATATGGGTGTAGCATGAAACTTGGTCAGAAAGGTAAACTTTAAAGTGTATGTAAACCCCAAAAGTAACCTCTTATTTACTGCCTTTTGGTCTATTTAATATACCACTGGAAGCATTATGTTATATCTGTCAGACATTTAAAACTGTTCTGTGTCCTCTACACACATTGTGTTATCTCAAGGAGTCTAATTAGCCCTCCCAAGTTCCAATTCCATCTTGGGCTATAGCATGATTAGCCTCTATGTTATAGAGGTTTGAGAGTGGGAGTGGTTGAGTAGTTTAGCAAAAGACACTGGGAGGGTCCAGAAAATGCTGTCAGCTCACAAAATACTTTGGAGCTGAGTGCATTTCTGGCAGATCAACAGGTATTATTCTGTACTTGCAGGGTCCTTAAAGGGATGAAACACAGGGACATGCATATGTTTTTTCTTGGGGCACACTTTTAAAAATACATTTTCTTTATAGAGGACTACAGGTGAAACTCGAATAATTAGAATATCGTGCAAAGTTCATTAATTTCACTAATGCAACTTAAAAGGTGAAACTAATATATGAGATAGACTCATTACATGCAAAGCAAGATAATTCAAGCCGTGATTTGTCATAATTGTGATGATTATGGCTTACAGCTCATGAAAACCCCAAGAACCCCAAATCCACAACCTCAAAAAAGTAGATTATTACATGCAATCAATAAAACAAGGATTGTACATAGAACAATATCGGACCTCTGAAAAGTACAAGCATGCATATGTACTCAGTACTTGGTTTGGGCCCCTTTTGCAGCACTTACTGCAATTACTTTTGCACGATATTCTAATTATTCGAGTTTCACCTGTATATATCCGACCAAAAACAAGTAGGAAAACTGAGAAGGGAAGAGGGACAGAGAGTTTGCATCAAACTGATAGGAAATCTCTTATGCTTTGCTCACACCATGTCCATTAAGCTGCATCTTTCCGTACACAGCACTGCACATGTATAGGGTGGACAAGGTACATGGAATCCCATTGCATTATCTGACTATATTTCACCTGACCAGGTTTTTTAGCACTAGACATGTAAGCCGGCAAAAAATGTGTTTCGTTTCATACTTTCTTTATTTAATTTTTGGGATTCTGGTCCTAAAGTCAATTTGTTTTGATTCGGATTCATCTGAATCCAAATTGTTGTTAAATTCGGATGAGTTAAAAGATATTTATGAACAAAAACAGACA